GAAGGCCACAAATCCAACGTCCCAGTTTAGACGACAGACTTCCTGCTCCAGGAACTTGACCAGGAATTCTACAATCACAGAACATGGTGACATTCATTGAAAATACACAGTTGTAGACATCTTTCCCCTTAAGGTCCCCCAGAGGGCGCTGGCTGACCTCGAACATTGATTCAGACTCTTTGACACCATCAAACAAAAATGTCAAAATGTGTACTTGCTCCGTGTGAAACCTGTGCCTGTTTAATTGAACACAACACTGATATACTCACAGGAATTTAAGAAAGACATAGTTTGAGGATCCTCTTCAACAATCTATCTTTTTTTCTGCGACATCCACTCCACTTAGGTTCAGAATTTTACAGTACATATTTCAATTAAGGTCAAAATAAAAACATAAGCATCTATTTTTAGGTTAATATATTTGTAGATCCCATTTCAGAGGAGTCAATGTATTGCCAGGCGTAAACCTCACCGCAGGTCACTGAGTTTAGGGAATGACAAGTAATCATTTACTGTATGAAAAAAAAAATGCATTCAGTGCTCAATGCCAATACTAAGTAACGACATTATTCCGTCCTACTTACGACAGGCTATGTCTAACGAAAATATTTTTTTAAGTGAAAAGCCCAGTATTTATAATCCTATTTCTGTTACGTACTGAAACACTTGGTACCGGTATCGATTGGTATCGTGACAACGCTAGTTGGGAATAGAGATAGATTTGATGATTTTAGTGAGAGGGCCGGGGGGGCGGGGCATGTGGTGGCTCACATTTCTAATTTCATGCATTAATCCAAGAACCAATAAATGCTGAACGGAACGAATCGTTGTTAACAGAGGAGGCGAGTTTGAGCAGGTCTGCTGTAACGTGAGGATAATGAAGCCGTCACCTGCAGCTCCAGCATCACCACCCCACAGATTTGTACCACAGAGACATACTGACATAATTGATGCAAAAGGGAAGCGTAATTATATTACTGTTTACAAAGTGCTAAAACTGCAAGCTGTTGGAAAAGCTGAACATAATTGCAGGATGTTGTAAACGCTCACCCAGAGGGAAGAACCTCGGTGTTCCGGCATAAATCTTTCCCAGCGACACCAGCTTCAAACTCAGAGACCTCATCCTGTCGGCCGGGCTCATGGCTACGCCTTCTCCCAGTTCTGAAAGACAACACACATTACACTCCAGAATTTTACTTCAGCAGACGACGGCAGAGAAACGTTCCCCTAGATCAGGGCTGTCAAACTCATTTCCACCAGGGGGCCACATCAGCAAGACAGTTCCCCTTGAAGGGCTGGCTGTAAATGGAAGACTGTATAGATCAGGGGTTCCCCAACCCCTGGTCCGCGGACTAGTACCAGTCCATAGGTCATTTGGTATCTGTCCACAGTGGGACATAGTGGAAAAATGTACTTACTTACTTTTACTAATTTACTTCATTCAAAGGAAATTTACTTACTTTTACTCATTTACTTCATTCAAAGGAAATCCAGTCATATCTATTTACTTTCTATGTAATTCTATGTTATTCAGACTAAACTCAAAAGATGTTTTATTTTGAAATTTTAATGATCATTCAATACCGTGCTACTGGTCTGTAGTAGCAGGTGGTACAGGCTGACCACTGGTGACCTCTGGTATAAATAACTACTCCATAACAGACTAATATATTTTTTTGTAATTGATTATTATTTATTCAAGCTACAAATATTGTTCATTGCTGTGTAACAAAAAAAACGTTTAATTTCTAAGGTTAAGAAACTCTGCTGGATGGATTTCACTAAATGCTTTTTAAGATCCCACGGGCCGCATTTGGCCCCCGGGCCTTGAGTTTGACACACATGGTGTAGATGAACAATTGCTTGCCTTTTTCCATGAGTTCCTGCCACAGGGAGTGAACCAGGATGGGGTCGGAGTGTCCGGCGCAGTGAATGATGGCCAGTTTGCACTCGGATAACTTGAAATGGTCGGCAAATTCTCCGTAAAGCTGGAAAAATAAAGAAATAAAGAAATAAAATGATTTGATTCACAGCACGTTTTCACAGGCTCTTGACTCCCACTGGTGGCTGTTCTGCTGCTGTGCGTTACCTTGGTGATGTCCATCAGCTCAGAGTCCAGCTGAGAGATGGCGTTTTTCACTGAGGGATGATGGAAGGACTGTCTGATCAGGGTCTCCTGGATCTGCACTTGGATTCTCACCAACTGAGGAAGACGGACGGCACCGAAATATTTAGTGATGAAGCTTCAATTCTTGCTACAATTTCCCCCACCACACCCACAAACCTCCATCTTTTCCTCCAGCTCGTGAAGGAACTCTCCGTCGGAGGCCTGAGCGGAGATGCTGGACGAACTCTTGGCAGACAGAATGGCTCGTGCCAGATACTCCAGCCGTTGTTTCAGAGAGATCTCGGTGCTGCGGGATCAGACCGTGAACACTTTCGTTAGATGATGTCACTTCCCGTAGCGGCAGGAAACATTCTAAGGAAACCATTTTGAGAAGTGAAGTGTTTTTTTTCTGCCAGACCTGTGCATGTCGGCGAGGCGAGCCAGCACGTGAGCCGCTTTGCCAAAGTTACGGTTCTTCTCGTAGTAGCGCCAGAGCAGGTCCATGTTGTGGACTTTACTCTGGTCCTGCTTGATCATGTGCATTAGATGCTCCTCAAGGTACGGAGAGTTCACCTGAGCAACAGATGGAAAAACTTTTGATAATCAAAGGACAAAAACTATTGTGATTACATTTTTTTTGCCCCTGCTTGTTTCAAGTACCGCATTTTCCGGACTATAAATCGCACTATTTTTCATCCTTTGGCTGTTTCAAGTACCGTATTTTCCGCACTATTTTTCATCCTTTGGCTGGGTTTGCGACTTATATATTAAAATATATAATTTCACATGTTTGTTATTTCCACCCTCACAGCCACTAGAGGGCACTCTAGGCTTGAATACTAGTATCTGCTACTCCTGTATTACTGAAAATATACATATTAGTCATTTTCACACCGACACCAGCTAGAGGGCGCACTAGCTGGCTGATGCGACAGTCTGGAAAATGCTAATTCCAAAATAAGACTGCTATACAATAAAATTGGTTTTATAGAGTTAAAACCTCTTTAGGGTTCAGAATTTTTATATGTTTTCAAGTTAAATTCTTTTTTTCTCTAATTATTTCATCGTCAAATAAGACGAAGTGAAAGACGCATAAATGACGGATGGTTTGTGAGATATTTTTCACTTCTTTTTTTTCAGTTTTTTACCAAGGATGTAAAAACAGGCCCTACAGGCTGTACAAGATTTCACTGCTCGTTTTATTTATTTATTGATTCCTTCATTTGCAATTTAAATAAAGCTGAATGCGCTACCTCCAACAGCTTGTCCGTCAGGTCGGCTTGGATCAGCCAGTTGTACAGGGCGATGTGAAAGAGCTCGTCCTGAGACCTCTGTGCCAGACCCAGCATCTGCTCAAACTGGGAAGGAACCACAGGTGTTCGTTAGAAATGCAGATGGCTGACGTGCACTCATCGTCATCGTTGCTCACTCACATGAGCCGTTGCTTCCTCATTGCTGAGCATGTTGGGGTCAGAGGTCATGACGGGTGGCCCCGGCTGCTTGGGGACACTGGGCGACTGAGGGGCGGCTTTGCTCTGGTTGACCAGCTCCTGCATGGTGTCTGTGATGCACTTATAACAGGAGAGCCTACAGAGTGGACGGAGACAGCGTTAACATTTCTGGACGACGAACGACTACAGGAGCCACTGTCAGTGTGATAACATTTTTTTTTGTTTGTTACCTTTCCTGGAAGGCTTGTTGTCCCACTCTGTCTTCCTCCGGCTCTCCATTCTTGTAGAAATGAGGCCCGAGTCTCTGCGGATCCTTCTTGTCTGCCGCCGTGAGGCACAGCTCGAGGACTCCCTCGTAAAAACGCACTAAAAGCCGTTTTGATACGATCAATACACACTGTGACTTCCACAAAAAAAAAAAAAGACATTGTGCAGACAGCAACCATTGTTCTCCACTCTCTGTTGGCCCACCTTGTCTGTACTGCGAGCAGACGAGCGGCAGGTCTGTGTGTTGGCTGATCTGCTGATACATATGCAGCGACTCCCTCAGAGTTCTCTCTTTATCTGCTTTACTCTGGATCTGCTTCGAGCCCTGCAGCAGTTCATTAGCCTGATGGAGAGAGAACGGTTAGAGTCCAAACACAGAGGCCACGACAAACACCAACGTCTCACATTTAGACGTCCTGACATGTAAGAAATAATATCAATGCCAGTTATAACCCACATACCAAATGACCTTTATAAACAGAGGTCTCTAGAAATTGGAAACTAAAAAAAAAATAAATATTGCTACATGTCAGTGTATTGATATTTTCTCACACCCCTAATATAAAGAGCGAGCGCCAACTGCTTGCATCAGTCAGTGTGTGTAGCACAGCGCCATCAGCGCCAACTGCTTCAGTCAGTGTGTGTAGCACAGCGCCATCTCTGGAGGGGAGCAGGGGGTTGTGTGTTTAGTACAATAATGTCATGTAATTTTAAGGCCCAGCCCTAGGGTGTGTTTGCATGTACCTTGGAGCAAACGCTGTCGTCGCTGCTGTACAGCAGGGGGCAGATGTCTCGCAGGTGATTGCTGATTGCATCCACCGGGGCGTTATCCTTGATGTACACGTTAATGAGCGCCGTGATGAGCGCTCCCGACAGCTCTTTACCCCGGATCACTACATCCTTGAAACTCACTCCTTTCATCTGATCTTGAAACTCCTTAAAAACAGGAGGGAACCAAAAATTAACAGGGAGAGAAAACAAGCAACTTCAGAAACGGGGAAGAGCTGCGAAACACGGTACAGCGGGATTCTGGCCAACAGGCAGAGCAGCATGTGGCTGAACGCCGCGGTGCAGCTGTAGCAGCATCTGTTTGTAAGGCAGCGAGTGCGAGAGTTGGCGCGTACATTTACCTTTGGCAGTTCAGACATAATGAGGCTGAACTGATGATCACAAAGAAGTTTCCAGAGAGCCAGAGTCTGATAGGAACGATGCACTAACTGCTGCATGCCCTGCAGAGACGCCTTCTCGTAGACCTGGGCTTTAGCTGCGTACAGACGTGGAGACGATACGGAAAAAAAAAAAGAAGAAAAAAAGAAGAGTTTAGGAGGCACAAAAAAAAAGATCAAATCAAACATTTGTGTTTAAGTCTGGCTCATGTTCTTACATATTATCACTAGGGACGTCTGATATCATCCAAACTCTTAATTTAAATTCCAATATCAACCAATACTGATATAGCGGAGCAGCGGTGCCCTGGTGGTTAAGGAAGTTAAGTGCCGTCTGCTCACTAAGGTGATGAGTTAAAGCTGCGTTTCACAATTATTTTCTGCTATGCTCCCCCTAGGGGACTTTAAATACTACATACAACCTCCTGATTATAAAACAATATGTATTACTGAAATGAACTGCAATGCTGCCATCTAGTGGCAAATACTTTCACATACAGACGTTTTTCCCCAAGACTATTTTTAACACACACTCGGCAAAATCCAGGCATGTGTTATCGTGTTTTCATTACCGGAGGATGAACAGATAAACATTCTTACAGATATTACATAATTATGCTAATATCGGACATCCCTAACTGTTACTACAAATGTTTACAAACTCAGTTCATCGTTCATCAGAAGATTAAATAACTTAAATAAATAAGACAACTCTGCGTGGATGATCAGGAAAAGGTGGACGACCGCTCTCATCACTCACTGTGATATTGCCTCTGGAGATCCTGCTGCACTTGCTGAGAGCTGGCGCCGTCAGGACGCATAAATCCCAGCAGCCTTTGCTGCAGGTTGGCAGGGGAGGTAAAACTAACAAGGAGGAGATCAGAAACAATACTTAAGTACTGTGGAGTCACGGAGGACAAAGAGCTTGATTCAAAAGTGTGTCTTACTTGGAAGCGCCCAGAGAAGACGGACTGAACTGAGAGTTTTTATCGAGAAACTCCCTCAGGCCACAGAGCTCCAAAAGAACCAGCTCCAAGTCGGATGATGCAACAGTGCTTTCCAACTGTGGGCAATGGAGAGAGTAATATATATATTTTTTAAATCTTCAACTTTAAGTTTAACAGCTCTGAAACAAAAACTCTACTTAAAGAGGAAAAAGACGACTCACGATAGTGACAGTCTGGTTTCCATTACTTATGGTTTTCTCCTGCGCGAAGCTCCCGTCCCAAATGTTACTAGGGAGTTAATAGGACGGAAAGTAAGAAATTATTTCATCGTGACACATCAGCGTACGTTCAATGCTAGAGACAAAAAAAAAAAAAACTTCAATGCTAGAGACAAAAAAAAACATAATGAAGAAATTTGCCATATTTACCCAAGAATTCGGGCGAAGTAGATGCAGATGCCGTTGTGCTTCCCTGAGAAAATCACCTCTGGTCCGGCAGTCATGGTCATGGGTGTGATCACAGCCACGTTGTGGTGCATCGGTGTGAAAGGTGTGGCCAAAGCTGGAGGGATGATTCCTGACAGGACAAGAAAAAAAAAATTCACAATGTTGCAAAAGACATGTTTTTCCATTAACGCTGCGTTAAAATGTAATGGTATGTATGAGGCTTATATCAGGAGTGTCAAACATATGGCCCGCGGGCCAAAATCAGTCCACTAAGGAGCTCAATCTGGCCACTAATAATCACTAGTTAATAACTTATTTTAAACTAAGTGCCTGTGAACTGTAACTTTAACTAGACTTTTTGGATTTTAAGAAACCAAAAAAAAAAAAACAACAAAAAAACAAAAACAAACATTAAATCTAATGAAGTCAGCAGAAGAATCTAAACCAGGTGTTAAACATACGGCCCACGGACCAAAACCAAGCGCTAGGGTGTTTAATCTGGCTTGATGAATTTTGAAAATATGTATATAAAAAATATACAAACATTTCACGTTCAGGGAAATTTTGTAAAATTATATTTCATTAAATATGAATTTTTCTTCTTATATAATTACTACTATATGAAAACAAAGGGGACAAGCCTGGACTTATTGTTATTTAATGAGTTTGACGTCCCCGTGTGATACAATCAACTAATTTTACCAGGTGCTGGAGAACTCATGACGGGTCCGACGGTGCTTGGAGCGGACATGGTTGCAGGGAATCTCATCTGCGCCTCCCCGCCATATCTGACGGTAACAACAAGAAACGAGAGAGAGTTATGTTTTTGGTCAGGTTTTTAAGGAGAGTGAAAGAGAAGTGAAAAGGAAAGTGTAACGAGACCTGAAGAAGGCTCGGGTGGCCCACTGTGAAACCTCTCTGTCGGCAGCAGCGCTGGAACACGCCAGGATCAGGACTGTGGCACAAGCCTGCTCCTCCTGCACGGAACCAGAGACCAGAGAGATCTTAGAAGTGCACACGTCGTTAGAGCTGAAGTTTAAAAGTTCGCTGTCGTTAAACAGAGAAAAACAAAAGTCACATCTTGTTTTTTTTTTTTACCCTGTGCAGCTTGAAGAACCGTTCAATCTCTTCACTTTCTCCTCCAGCGCCGCTCACTAACAGATGACGCAGCTGATCGACGGGACGCAGTTTCTGGAATATATGGCTGCCCTGAAGTGGAGCAAGAAAGGCAAACTCAGTGCAGAGGAAAATGGATTCATCTCATTAGAGCGAGCCTCGTGGAGATGCATAAAAAAAAACCAAACAAACAAACAAACAAGGATTAATGACAGTGGTTCTGACCTTTGCAGAGAGAAGGACAAACTTCTGGGGAGGAATGTTGTGCTGCTG